AAAACAGTGATTCTGTCCTAATTCCCTTACATATTAATGGTGGAGTCCCCTTTAAAATCTTAAATGATTCCCTTTGAGCTAAATTGACCTGTTTCCCTTACAGTGTTTTAGAAGCTGAATTTCTTTGAACTTGAGCGCCGTGTTTTAGAATGATGCATTATGCACGAGAAGCTGCTATAAAGACATGAGTAGCGCATTTACGTTGAAATACAATGGAAAAGTACAGCAGTGGATGGAACAAATGCGTTTTGAGTGAATGACCAAAGCTATACTTAGCAAATACAGATGGCAGAGTATTAATAAAACATAAGCGCATAGCCACCAAATTCGAAAATCTGACATCCAGGAAATGTCTTAGGCAGCAGTTTTACCACAAATATAGACAAGTGATACCACCACTACCACCATAAATACTTAATTGTGTCTGCTTTCTAATGAAACACAAGCTCATTGCAATCCGATTCCGTGACATTGCAACTCATTTAACAGATGCATCATTTTAAGTTAGAACAACTTGAACATACAGTAAAATAACTAACTATTATCATCTAGCCCTTTATTAAACATTAAACAATTATTTCATCATAGCTTACTCAGTAGCTAGTGCTGCATTCTTGCACCGCTTGTGCGGGAATTTGTGTCAGAGACGTAACAATTAAAAGGCGACTTTGTGAAACGGACTGTCCTAAATTGTTGCTATAGTAGAGGGATAGGCAACGTCGGTCCTGGAGTGCCGATGTCCTGCAGAGTTCCTCAAACTCCCCTGTCTGTAGCCCTGTATTTTAATTATGAAATATAATGGTTTATTTTATTTATAGTGCATAGGCTTTCTAGCTTTAATATGATGCTACTATAGCAGGGATAGGCAACGTCGGTCCTGGAGTACCACTGTCCTGAAGAGTTTAGCTCCAACCTTGAAAAAACAAAAACTAGTAATTCTGAAGACCTTAATTAGCTTGTTCAGGTGTGTTTGATTAGGGTAGCCAATCATAACAGTGGCCGATTACTGACAAGCTGTAAAGGACACGCCCCTTAAAAACAAGTCTTTTTAGAGAGCGCTTCAGAATGAGGGTTGGCATATTTATTTATTTGGTAACACTTTAGAATAGGGAACACTTATTAAAGGCCTTCCCTCAGAAAGATTATAAATCCCTCAATAAATTCCTAATTTGCTGCTTATTAATAGTTAGTAAGGTAGTTATTAAGTTTAGGTATTGGTAGGATTAGGGATGTAGAATAAGGTCATGCAGAATAAGGCATTAATATGTGCTTAATTTGTACTAATAAATGGCTCATATTCTAGTAATATACATGCTAATAAGCAACTAGTTAAAAGACCCTAAAATAAAGATTTTTTTTTTTTTTTTT